CATGATAGAGGTGGTTCCGTTATTCACCAGGTGGGCTAGCAATATTCCGAATTAGTTGAGGATAGCGGCACGTTTCAGTGCCTTCGTTTAAGGCAGTACCTTTGAAAAGAGAAGAAGACACAAGAAACCGCCAGAGAGGTGCAGAAGTATATAATAGGTGTTAATAATTCAAAACATTATAAAAAACATGGGGTTCATCATTTTTTGTTGTTTTTTTCATTTAAAAAATACTATTTCCCCCTGAGATTTTCTAGTGATGGAATTCTAGTCTTTCTGCGAAAAGAAAAAAAGTTTAAGTGAAAAAAGATGATAATTTTACCTACTTATATAGTTGAATATGAGTTAAACACAAAAGTCAAAGTGCGTGAACTATGTAGAAGAAAAGCGAGGGCTTAATAATAACTACTGTTTTTCTGAAGTATACATTTAGGTGTCCTTCTGAAGTAGGGGACTCATACCACGTACTTGCATTCAGGAGTTTGTTATTTAAACTTCAGCTTTAGGCAAATTTTCAACTTCTGTTTTTTAAATTTTATTTATTCTCTTATTTTGCAGAAGCCATTCGAACTCAGGAGCCTTAGCAATAGAGTGCTGTCCCACAGATAAGGGTGGTTCTCATATGTCCCCACCATCATATCCGCTGACTAGCAATCACCACCTCCACATTAGACCATATTCGGGTAGTCGGACTGTTACAAATTTTTTGTTTCAATGCACATTTTTGTGAACTACGAGCCGTTTTGTGTTCACACACTATACGTTTGATATTTGGATGCCAAGTAACCTAATAATTATCTGATACACTTTGTTAAATAGAACAGTAAACTTTGAAGTTTCTTCAACAAGTTTGGTGTTAATATTGGTCCATTTGGAACAGTCTTGTTTTTGTCTTGGATTCCGGCTGAAGACTGCAAGCTTGTTTCTTCTTGAGAATTATTCGTACAGTGGCTGCAACAATCATGTTACCCATAGCCAAGTAACTTCGTTCAATATTCTGCTTTCTTCCTTCCTATCTGTAATAAGGATGGTGGAGTTTTCTAGATATCCGAGACTGGCTTTGCGTCATTTCTATTGCACCTATTTTCATGACGGGACAACTGGCACCTGGTTGGCTTAATTTTCATCGGTCGTGCCTCTCGAAGATGAATAACCGTAATGAAGCCCTTCACATGTTCTTCTTGCGCCCCAAACAACACAGTTATATTATCTAGGTTATTGAGATTCTAATGAGGTACTAGCTCGTCCAAAACCAGCTGCTTCAGCCATTGTTTGGTGAATGGTGATGCTAAATAAGTCAGAGACATGGTATGAAATTCTCTCAGCCTTGTAAACAAGACAATCCGTCTTTTGCCCGTCTTTTTGTCATACTTCAACCTGCCTTTACACGGAGGCGATGTCTAACATTGCCGTTTATGCAGCCCCAGTTACAGAGTCTGAGGGGGCCGTTTTTATGGATTCGGAAGCGGTCATCTTTGGCAATGGTGTATTGCCGGTAGTAGTCTACACATACTAAAAATTTACAGTCACTGTTTTCTGATTAGGACAATGAGAAAGAAACCTATGGGACGGAAGAAAGTGTGACAAACGTTTGCCCCATCATTGCATGGATTACCGTATTTGGTTGATAATGGTACAGAAGTAGCTGGAAGAATGCGAGGTGGTCATCACTATCTGTAGTGTTTTGTGTAATGCAGGTATGTTTCAGAAGAATTTCTAGAGAATCGATCTAATTTTTTTGAATTACGAGGGTCAGTGCTACCTGTGGATAACAGCGCGACCGGAATGTTATGTTGAGTTCTCTTTTGATTTGTATACCTCAACTACTTATAGTAATTTGGTTAACACTGAGAAAGCCAATGAACAGTATGACATTCCAAGTAATCTCTAAATGGTCTAAAAACTGGTATTCCACCAGAGGCTACTGTGGATTCAACAGAAGAGAATTTAAAGGGTATGTTTATGTTGGCACCCAGTTTGCTGGCGTTAGAAATTTTGGCAAGGCTGTGAGGTAACAAGATGTGCGATTATCAGGGACACTGATGCTCTTTTGTTGATCAGAATTATTACCTGTCTTTCGTACTAAAGGGTTAAAATGAACATTAATCCGCCAGCACTCTGGAGAACCAGAATATGACTTCTCCGAGGACAGAGAAGGAAATCATAATTCAAGCGCGTGAATTGGCGGATGGTGACTGGGAGCGGAATCCAGGATGCGCACTTCGTCCCATTTAAGACTCGTCATCTTGATGTAACTGCGTTACCCTGTGCTCAACAGTGTTCTCACTGAGGCTCGAACCCCATATCCATAGTTTGAAACTCGAAAGTGCCATCCAATAGAGACATTAGGCCGCGAGAGTCACCTCTTGTACAATGGGCACTAGTCATTATTCAATTCAACTTCGACTTTATCGTTCACTGATCGAACCGAAGTGCTTGGCCTCCGTTGATATGTCGGCTCCTCTCCCGGATGCTTCGACTGTTTCTGAGGATTTAGCCTGAAGTAATTTGGTGGAAGAAAGCTAGCAGTGGAATCTGGGACATCCAGCAGCACGCCTAGATACTCCTTTAATGATGCCCATCACACGTGGCTTCTAAAAGATAAACCCTTGATAACTCCTACCGGTGACCCTCCGACTGCCTTCACCTTCAGTTGCCTAGCTACAGCGTTTTTAATAGGCCATTGGTTCCCACCATTAGAGTCTGGTACCACGACGACTAAGTTTCTAACGTGTGCATTACTGCTTATGTTCATCCATTCGTGCCACTGGTGGGACGAGGCGACATATTCCTTTTTCTTTGAGCTCTTATCTAATTCCTCTCTTGTTCCTACCAACTTGATTATCTCGCCACTGGATATTTCTTTTCAATTTCCTCCCACACAACAAACCTCATCAGCAACATTGTAAATCAATCCACGGATTGGAAGTGCGCAGCCTCCAAATGTACAGCTTGGAACCTCAAGCATCTACCTAGCGTCTCTGCTATCAGTCAATGATAGCCTATACCTACAGAGGAGAAAGTGCAGCCATCCATCTCCTTCCCCTCTATCCACAACGGTGTCACTGGATGGCCTCTTGACTAAGTGTTTCTCCCCCTACAGTGCATATAATTTCTGATGGCCTTTCTAATTGCCGCACCTCTTAAAAACACCCCAGACCCCTCTCTGACAGTGTCTAGTGACTGTATAGCGACATATGCGCTTGTGCATTGTAGTAGTGCTTTAGCATCGATTGCGTGACATAATATTTCGATGGCAACATCAGCGAGTCTTCCATTTCATTTGACCAGGGTCAGTTTTGTAATTGACTGCCATCTAGTAGGAAAGGGTGAAGTTTTCGTGAAGATGGATTGAACGCTTCTGATTCTGGACTAATAGATAACATTATCAAAATAAGTTCCTTCTTGAATTCTACTTTTCCAACAATTCTTACGGTGTCCAAACCAGGAAGTTTTAATCCACCTATCTTCGGCAGGACAAATCAAGTGATGTATCGCTTTTGGCTAGGTGCATGGTGAGCTTGCAAAATCGGAATCAAGATATCCAAGTTCCTGTCTTCGGCAACCTGGTCTGATGTCAGAAGTAATGCAGAACCCGACCTAAGATGTTGTCATTAAATATTTACTCTTTCCACCGTTATAGCCTTTATCACTATTTGACAGTCATTCGATCCCTTGTTTGAATCTGATACTGGTTACTCAGCTTTGGGACCTCTCGGAATATGGAACATCGCATCATACCTTAAGGTGTTCATCCTTGAAGAGCATTTCACGAAATGTAAAATCCGAAACACTCCATTTTGAGGGCACATTGTTATAATTGTTGGTCTGGCACACTAACAAAGAAATACACATAGCCATGCGCCTGTCCTAAGCTACCTCATGAGCAACAGGGAAACAATCAACCCCTTCTCAGGTGGCGACTACTGAGGAGTTCTATGACAGTAGCCGGTTCTCTGGCATAGAATTCTTGGCTAATACATACTGAAGACAAGGCCGAATCCGGGAAAACAAGAGTTTCTTAATATACTGCAGGCTTCCAATAGAGGCGACTTTCAGACAGAAAACAGTGACTCATGACCTTGGGTTTAAATGACAACTGCTGTGGGTTTCCACTGTTGTTGACTTGGAACACGCAATCTTCGACACGGTATCTCTCAAAAGATGTGAACTACTAGTGGATACCTGTAAGAGACATCTAACAATGATATAAATCTCCAAATATGTGAATAGAAAAGTGAGCTATCATCACTCATTGAGTCTCCGCCAATATCAGACGAACACTTCGGGAAAATACTACCGGAATTCTTTACTCTAACAGCAAACAATCCTCTCACTCCTGAGGTTGGACTTGAAATCACTCATATTATTAGAACTAATTCCCACAGTTCCTCTAAAACAAGATTAGTTGCAGGAAAACTAAAAATAGAGGAGGTTGAATCCGACTATATAGCTCAGTTCGTAATTATTCTGGCCTCAAATAGTCAGTGAACTGCAACGTTATACATGGTGGCTTCTCGACCCATGCCAGTGTTTCAGTTTATAATATACGGAGTAAAGGAGCTCAGAAAGCTCTAGGATCTTGAAATATCAGTGTAGATAAAATTTAAATGCGTGCAGACTCAGAAACGTTTGGTAATCAACACTTAGCAAGACATGCATGTACCTGAAGCCCAGTATCCCTAATAACCTGCAAACTGCAGGTAATAAAGTGATAAGTCTACTGCAAAGCCCAAAATTAAGTATCATCATCAGAAAATCGTGAAATTTAGCTGCCTTTAGTCTACATATATTTTTTCCATGTATGGAACATGAGTAGTTATTTGCATTTTCATGAACGAGATCACCCAGACTTTCAGACTACAGAAGAAAATTTCTTCTTTTTCTATTAAATACTATTCTAAACCATCAAAGCTCAGGAGTGCAAACCTGGAGTACTTTGTTTTAGTGCACCAATTTCACCTTAAGTACACTAATCATTCAGAAGGAGGCATCGTTCGGTGATGCCGTTTGTCACTAGTTCAGGTAAATCGCTGTAGGGAGCTTACTATTCTGTTGTTATTGTTTTGTTCACTTAGTACAATAAATTAGAAAATTTTTTAATTGTTTTTTGACCTTCGGTGGTAAATTCCACCTGCAGTAGAAATGGATAAACTAATTACGTTTGTTTTCCCAAAGGTATGTCATATGACAGACATTCATTTATCAAATGTTTTTACATGTTGTATGGTCAGTCGGCTTAGCGGCCATCCTTCGGGCTCTTTGGAATACTACGGACAAATCTTTCAGTCACGTAGCGATGTCAAAAGAGCAGTTAGTTCGCAATTTCTCATTAATTAGGAAATATTTGAGATGAGAAATTTCTCCTTGTACTCCAATGTCCCTCTCTAGTGTATCCTTTTCTAGCAGGTTCTCTAACTCACACCCATTTTACCTTTTATTTTCCTGCTTATATGTATGTTTAAATATATGCACAACAGGTCTGCAAAAATGTTTGCGTTTGCACATGTGTACGAAATTGTGACATGCATGGAGTGGTCATCTGCCAAAAAAATAAACAAACAGACACTGAATGACACTTTCCATGGTAAATTCGGCAGAGAAAGACCGAGGAGGACATGGGGTTTCAGCAAACTTAATAGTGACCATGGAGTGTTACCGTATGAGTGACATGGAAGGGACCAATGAGTAAAAGACCTGATTTTAACATGAAAAAGCCTTTTGTTTAAGACAAAAATACATGTGAAGATAATGAAACGCTTTAAAAACCATATTTTGCCTCCATTAACTCAAAAGTACTTTCGAATTACACTTAGGAATGTATCGGTTTGTAGGCTTCATGTTTATCGAGACGGCTTCCTGATTGTGAACAACGACCTCTACTCATATTTATTTATTTACAAGGAAAATGTACATAATGATAGTTATAAAACACCTTGATTCTTACTTTCACCTCAATCCTTATCTTAACCATAACCCCAATACTTATCCTAACCCCCATCAACCTGTTCAAACATTACTTAAAATCGAGATTAGGATGGAATTTGCGCCGCATTTCGTGCACAGTGTTTAAACTGACGCTGTTTAAACGGCACGTTCTGTAATCCAGTGAACGGCATGCGTTCAAGGTTAATTATTAAGACATGTGTTACGTATGCCTAGCCATCGTCTTCCTCGATGGGCAATGTTAGCTGACATAGGATCAGGTTGGAAAAGAACCAGTGGTGGGCAAACCAGAACATGGCATCAGTCAATGAAATCCACAAAAGTTAGTTTAAGTCACGTAGGAAGGTGTAGACTTACTGGTTGGGGCCCTCGGTACGCTAAAAACCGATGGCTGAAGAAAATTGGTGATATGGCTCAAAATCTCTCTCAATGGTACGGATGCATCGACACCTTGTGACTTACAGTATCCAATAAAACTATACGATTCTTCGATATTACTATTTTTACCTCATATCTGTGTTTACTGTCTCTATTTTGTTGAACTTCTCTTTACTCTCTCCTCTTGCTTTGTTTGCTACATGGAAGGAGAATGGCAACTCGAACTTCTGCACATCGGCGCAAAGTTCCATATTGGAACTAGTCAGTCAGTCAAGGTTATTATTGCGTTCGCAGTCCGTGGTCACTGCTCTAGATTGATCCTGATTTCTGTCAAAAACATTAGACCTAAAATTTAGCCATTTTTGCCTCAGTCACATGCCCAAGCAAGTGTAGGCTTTTAAATGGATTAAACTTACCTCATGGAAGCCGTAGGGTTGTGCTCAAACCTGCACTTTGGTGATGTGAATGTCGTGGTAATTTACACATCAATCCCGAAACGTGAGGTTCCTTAGTGATATCTGGGGGACATGCACATTTTCGTAATCCATTTGGAAAGTTAATTACAACTGACAATTAAAAATATCCTTTTCTGATGTTTTTATAGTCTTTGAAACAGCTAACAGTTCGTCCGTAGTTTTAATAGGCTTCTCTTGTAAGCACAGTAAAAAGTAATTCCGCTATAGCACATTTCACGTGTGATGTTGGACATTTTACGAGCACTGTAGAAATAAATTAACCTTTACAAAAGTCACTTTGGAGTGAAAAAAAAAACTTACATATACGCTTGGGACTGTTGATCTGAAATCGGTAATGCAAATGAAGTGGTTTCGCCGGCTTACTAAAGGATCCCCAATTTTATGTGAATATTATTTGTGGATTCTGAGTACTGCTTGTTATAACTAAGTGAACAGAAAACTACTGCCCAAACTTTGTCGCGCCGAATGGTAAGGTGTATTCCTCAAAACCACTCCCAGAATGTGCAGTTCCATGGGGTTTCGGCAGCATTAAGAGCAGCGTTTTAACATCTTGGCGATTATTATTTTGGAAATAAAATAAATGACGTTTACATACAACGCCCCTCGGTCTTGATACGGAATAGTATCTCGTAGATTAGAGATAAAGATTGGGATCGTTGAATGCATTTGTTGCTGACGAAGTCTCAGCATGAATGAATGCTAAAGACCTGGTGTCAAGATATTCGTCAAAAGAAGTGGGCAACAGTTCGCCACATTCTTTCAAGCTAAAACAGTCATCAAAAGATGAAGAGACTGATATTTTGTGACCATAGGTGTTTGCGCTGAATTTCACATGTTAGGTAGTGCAGTATAATAATATTGAGGTTGGGCGTAGTGTTAGATGAAGAGGGAAAGACCAGCGACCTGGATGTGACAGAATAACTGACTGATTTCACCATACTACTTTGCACCGATGTGCAGAAGTTCGAGTTGCCATTCTCCTTCCATGTAGCAAACAAAGCAAGAGGAGAGAGTAAAGAGAAGTTCAACTAAAAATAGAGACAGTAAACACAGATATGAGGTAAAAATAGTAATATCGAAGAACCGTATAGTTTTATTGGATACTGTAAGTCACAAGGTGCCGATGCATCTGTACCACTGAGAGCGATTTTGAGCCATATCACCAATTTTCTTCAGCCATCGGTTTTTAGCGTACCGAGGGCCCCAGCCAATAAGTCTACACCTTCCTACGTGACTTAGACATAAAAGTGCGCGAACCACGGCGTGATCAAAGTACACGCACGTGTTCCAGAAGGAGTGTCAGTCTTCTGACCCTCTGTAACGATACCGCATCGCTATGTGGTCTTATGAGTCCAACTTTGATTTTATGATCCCGGTCTCCTGGTCAGAGAATGTCTCTCTTTGTGCCTAAAGTTAGTGCTGACTAGGAACAGATGATTATCTGAACAGAACTGTAGTAGACGATCACCGTTGTCGGTTCGTCAGCAGGGAACTCCAAACGTGCCACCTATATACTTCCCAGTTTGGCCTAATTTCCCTACTTGGGCATTGAAGCCGCCTGCCAAAACAACTATATTTGAGTGTTTTGTTTTTTGCAGCAAACTAGGCAGTTTCTGGTAATCATCCTTTGATTCATCCGAAATGCAGTCGGTTGGGGGCGTAAGTCGGGATGTACAATTGTTGGGGTCGACCTTTTCTAACCCCCTCTCTCCATAGTGGAGAGACAGCATAGTTGGCATTCTGGTTATCTGATGGAAACACCTTACTGCTGTTACATCCCTGTTCCCCAGCAGTACGACTTCGCCCACAGACCCCCATCATATAGTGTAGAAAAAATCATACACTATGCCGGTAACTGCTTTTAGTCTAATCACTATCCTAACAGTCTTCTGGCATGGTAGGACCTGCAGGTACATTAATTCCAGCCAGTGTAGCTTGTTGGGTCATTGCGATATGTAAGCCCGACCACCACGTCAAGGTAGCAGCTATCGGTTGGGACCTGGTTGTGAAGTTCCATTGGTTAAAATGGATAGTTTTTCAACGTAGAATTGTGCACAATTTCAACGGTTCAAGCTGCCACTCCATACAACACACCGAAAAACTCAAAGGAACTCTAATGAACGGAAACTAAACACAAATTAACAAGTCGTCACTCTAGGTAACATCATTTGTTGAGCACTGAAGGTAATTAAACTCAGTTTGTTATTCTTGCTTGGTCTAATATGAGAACCTCAATTATATGAAGTCTAACATTCAATGTGTAGTCTGTGATTTATTCCTTGTTCATTCCTTTGTCTCACACCTTAGCCGGAATGTTTTTGATAAAATGCTTTGCTTTTTATCCCTTATGGTAGTGAAACTTAGTAACTTTTTTGTGCAGTATCGCAACTGAAGCCGACGCACATTTTTAAGTTTCACACATGTAAATATATCACACTTTCATATACGAACTCGTTGCCAAACTAACTTTATTCTAAAGTGCGTTCTTATGTCCACCTGTGTTATCTATCTGTATTTTCAGGAAATGTTGTTGAACAGCAACCATGGGGTTTACGGTATTTCAAGCAACTACTTTTCAACCTTTTTCATATCATCTGCCTATTGTAAGTTGTTATTTTTCAATAGTTTATGTTTGCTCACAGTATTCAGACGATGTTACCATTAGATGTAAGTTTTGTAATATAACTTATGAGCAACTTATAGCTCTTTCGTTCTCAAGTATCTAACCAAAGAAGTTCATGGGATGGGAGGTCAGTTAAATAATTGATGAGATTATTTTCTAGACCACCTCGACCACCTGGACGACGATTCGGAGGATTTGGAGGCTGTAGAGGTGAGATTCTTTTCATCATTGTTAATAGACCGTCCTTAAAAAAATTTTTATGTACTTATTTCTAAAAGAGCTACGAGATACTCTGTGAAACATGACTTTTCATTGCCTAAAGGTTTGCTAAGCTTTCATTTTGACATGTTTGAGTATTCGTTTGACAGTGGGCTTTCCTCATCATTGTACTGTGATTTCAGTGAGATGTTAGGTCATCTATGAGTGTCAGATGAGATTCCTTTCCAGTTTTCCAACCATGAATAAATTACATTCACACACTAGAATTCCAGATTGCACAGTCATATAGTGTCAAAATAGAGTTCAGTGAAAATCGATGAATTCGGACAGATTTCAGACTGAACTCAAGATTCATCTTTAGTATGTCTGCCCACTAATATACTCTAGAACATAAGCATATTTACCAGTGCCCAACAACAGTTATACTTCCTGTCTTGAAGGTAACATCTGAATTCATCCATAGAGATATATCTATTGCATTAGCTCTGAATTTAATGGGACAATGTTAAATACGTCACTTCACTAAAGTTTGTTTATTCCAACATCTGCAATAAAGCGTGAAATATTTCGTAAGATGTCTAGGTCAGTTAGTCCAAAACAACAATTCGTATCTTTTTATTTTTCAATTTATTGTAGATATCCTCGTAAAGTTCTCTGTCTTTTTTTAACTTCATAAATACTGATGTCATTGAGAATTTCTTGGTTGGCTTACATAAGCCTTGGTACATAAGCGAAGTTGTCCTGTTTAACCTCTGGACACACTATGGGTAGCAATTTGAAAGAGTTTTGAATGAGTCTGTCATATTCCTAGTGTAAATTGTATTCCCAACACTGATACACATCGGATTGAGGTTTCGCGTGCATTTCGGATTATGAGGGCAATTGTTACTTCCCGGCTGCCCACACCGTGGAAGTTGGTTGCGTGACCGCAGAGCCCAGGGGACAACTGCTTGAGGCCGGTCACACGCGGCTGTTTTTGTTTGTTCTTTCTTGTTTGGTGTGTCTCAGTAGCATATTTATCACTTCTGCCCTGTGACACGGCAGCAGGAAGCGCGGTCGTTGTTAATCCGGGCCCCGACCGATCCGGCATGATATTTTGTGATTTACTTTGAGTCATAGCATTGGGTTGGGTAACTGCTTTTTGTCTAACCGCTATCCAAACAACCTTTCTGGCATGGTAGGACCTCAAGCGACAAAAGTCTCAGCCATTATAGCTTGTAGGGTCAGTGCGGTGTTCAAGCCCGACCACCACGTCAAGGTAGCAGCTTTCGGTCGGGGATACACATCGGTACTTCACCTCATTATAAAAAAGAGTATTCTATCCACTTCCCCTGATGAACAGTTAGCTGTAAAACAATAATTATTAGAAAGAGACACTTCTTGTATTTAATTACCCTTTTTTTTCTTTTTTGGTTAAAGCATTCTATGAGCAGTGTAGTGGTTAGAGATAGAGGCTTGAGTTGTGGTATGTAAGTTAATGACATAAATATTTAATCGGCTGACATGGTTGTGCTATCCTAATGTTAGTTAAAGTATGTTAAATGAAAGATGCTGCTTATTGATATAATAGCTACAAACCAATGCTAACTAGTCAGGAATAGTCAACAGAAAATTGAACACTTCACTAGATAGAATCTACCTTACAGACAATTTGCTTCTTTAGTTCAGTCAAAAATCAACAGGTACCCCTATCATGTTTCTCCTAATTGTGTAGAAGTTACGTTTATCTGCAGTAGCAGTTATATTGGAAGAACAGAAAGAAGAACGTACATTTTTGATTTTTTGTACACGTACTAAAAAGCCTGCGTCTAAATGGAACAAAAAGTTTCAATTGTGCAATCGCTAGGCGTCTTGTTGATACGGAACGCAAAGTAGATGTTTATTTTTTATTATTTTTTTATTCCTTTACGATCCCAGTGGAACATAGAGCTTCAAGCTAGAGCTTTGAAGTTTCGGTAGCAGTGGTATTTATTTTTACGGGATGGGGTTGCTAGCCTCATGCCCAATCTTCCCTCTTTACCAGTCTTATTACTGGCTTAGCGAGTTAAAGGAGTGCGTCTGTGGCCGGGGATCGAACCCCGGACCACATGCGTGGTTGGCGAGCATTCTACCGCTATGCCACCGACGCTAAGTAGGTATTTAGAAATCTTTTAAGATAATCATCAAACGACGCAATTTAATTCTCAAATTTTCTGGATTTATACAGCATGTAGCCAGATTTATGTTTTCAAACTGATAGCTGCTACGTTGACATGGTAATTGGGCTTGCATATCCCAATGACCTAACGAGCCACACTGGCTGGAACGAAAGCACCTGAAGGTCCTGCTATACCAGAAGAATTGTTTGGATAATGATTAGATCAGAAACAGTCACCATCATACTATCAGTTGCTTACATTATTGGGGACCTGAAGTGTATAATAACAGTGAAATTTTTCTCTTGGATGACCAGCAAGCCACCTTATGTGAATTCTAAGCTGTGGGATGGAAGACAAGATTGTCCCCGAAAATTAAGATCTTCATACGGAGATAACTTCAGAAGTCATTTCAAAGAGGCCTTGTGTGACCGGCTTCAAGCAGTTGTTCACGGAGCTATGTGATCACGCAACACTTACGCTTTTTCTGTTTCGAGTGTGTTCAGAAAAAAGCAGTTTTTAATCTTTCTTTGCTCTGAAAACACAATTGCCTAAGTCTTCTTCCTTTCATTTGATTACATAATCCTTCAATTTGATTTTTTTTTTTTGGTTTGTCACAAGAAATGTTTTCTTGTTTCTATTTTTTGAATTTAACTCATGTTATTGTGCAGCTTATTAGTTGTTTACCGCTATCTTATCCATCTCTAGCTGTTGTTCTTTTTTTTACTTAACTCCTTTCTTAAAGTATGCAGACCTTTTTGAATCACCTTGACCCTTCTGACTGGAAGATATATTAGCGTAATTTCTAAGTACATTTTGTTTATGATTTTGCAGCCTCTAGTTAACCTACATCATGTTGCCTTTTCAATTACATTATAAATTGTTCTATACTTATACTTAGAATCTTAAAGGTTGTGCGTGATTGATTTTATTCAAATGATATAATTTATATAGTAGTTAAAGAAATCAAATGTATTTCAACAATACAAATATTAGATTTGTCAGTAAGAGGAATGTAATATGGAGAGAGGATGTAACCCTAATAGAAACAGATTTAGAAAATAAAATTTAAAGGTCAAATGTTCTAATAGCTATACGTAACGCAAATCCAGTGACCGGAGAGAGCCTTTTTGTATACAGACTTTGAAGCTTTACATATAAATTGTCATAGTCTCCGCAGTTTAAAGTAGTTTTATTCGCACCTTTTCTAGAGATCCATACGTACCTTGTAGATATCACCAAAACTAGTTTTTGGTTCCACCGGTTGATTGCAGTCTATTAGATGCTTCCACATTGAACTGCGAGGTTTTCTTCCCCCCCCCTTGTAAAACTAGGACGGTATTTGTTCTATTGTACCTGTAGAAAGTAAACACTGGATACACCCGACATATCTTGCTCCACAAGAACAAGTGAATTGATAAACACACATTGAGGAAAGTCGCCGATAGCAACAGTAACCAGATGTTTGTTTGTGTGATAAAATCTGTTTTGAGGTCAATCAGATAGCCACAAACCAAGCACTTGAACATTATTGGTACTGCTGTGTAGTGTGCTTTGACTTACATAGTAATCATTATTATTATTATCGTGCTTTTGATTTCCGAGTGGAGCATGTGGCTCCAGCAGAACATCTCCGTTTCATCCTGTTCTCTGCAATCTTTTCTAGCTGGCTCCACAAGTGCCCATAAGATCCTCACACGATCTGCTGCATGTCACCCTCAGACTTACGCCCAACCCGTCGTTTCTCATTCGTGTTCCACTCAAGCGTCTGCCTAGTGCGCCATGTTACTCAACGGTGTCCTTAGCGTATTTGCAATCCACCTCCATTTTCTTCTGCATATTGGTTGAGCGACAGGATGTTGGTTGGTTTGTTGCCTATCTTCTCTAGCCGGCCATCTGATCTTCAGTACGAAGCAAAGGCGGATGTTGATAAAAGTCAGCAGTAGTCTGCTGAAATTGCTTTTCGTGATATGCCAAGTATGTGAACCAAATAGAAGCACTCATTCTTATGCATAATATTTGTACCAACCAATAATAATCATATAGAGGATTTCATCATAAGCTAACATCATTTAGAGAACCACTGGAAAACCTGGGAGTACTGGACAGCTGTTTCGTCCTAGTTTGGGACTCTTCATCAGTACGCACCCACCGGGGTTCGAACCCAGGACCTTCTGGTTACAAGGCGAGCTCGCATACCATTGAGTCACTGGGACCCGATCCAATGGTCCTTGAATTCTAACTTCTGCCAATTCACGACATAGCGCGATCATTTCGCAATGTCTTCTGCGATAAGTTACTGCCTCATCTTCTACCTGCTGTACCCTACTGGTCACAGCTTCCCAATGGAACCCCAGGTTAACTGCCTGAATAGGGCCAGTCGCCAGTGAGCATCAGATTAATTTTCAAATATTGGTTTTGCAGGGATTTTTGTTTGACTGCATGGAGGATTTCATCATGCTAAAGAGTCCGAAACTAGGACGAAACATCTGTCCAGTACTCCCAGGTTTTCCAGTGGTTCTCTAACTGATGTCAGCTTATGATGAAATCCTCCATGCAATCAAACAAAAATCCCTACAAAACCAATACTTGAAAATAATCATATAAGCATCTATTTATTTCGCAGGTTTGCTGTCATTTTTCAACTGATTTCTTTACTTATTTAATTAATTAACAATTTATTTTCGCATCTTGTGTCATCAGTATGGAAAACTCCACCGTTTATATTGGCAAGAAGCCAGCATCAAACACAAACATGTAAAATTACTCACAGCTCATCCTTGATTAGTCCTTTTGATATCGAAGCTGGTCTAGATAGGTTGGTTTATTGAGTATTACCGTAAGATGACCCATTAAGTTTTTTCTTTTTTTTTTAACGCAGTATGCTTTATTTTTTCCTTTTATACAACATATCCAGATGCACCTGGTGCTCCCCCGATGGCTGGTGGTGGATGAGGTTAATTCGTCTTTGGAGTAAATAGTAGTCGGTAACTTACTGACAGACTCCAAAGACGACAAGATCCATCCATCCATCAGTAACAAATTTCAAAATCCATTTATATGACGGTTGCCTGGAAAATCTTGGTATTTAAGATCTAGTCAACCTGATGATGAGAAATGGATGATACCCCATACCTGTTGCGCCTGCCTTCAAGTAATGTTTATTTTGGGTATGCGTGTACATTCTCTAACAACAGCTGTTTTACTGATTTCTAACTTTTCATTATTTTGCAATCAAAATATATACCTTTAAAAAAAACAATAATAATAATAGTTGTGTATATGCCCACATTTCTTATGTGATAGGAGTATTTATAATTGATTACAGGAAATAAATAAATAAATACCTGTGAGTGGTTTAACCGTTTTCCACGGTGAATGACTTATTCATTACTGTTATTATGTTCTATTTTTCCGATGAAGTATATTCTGCGTTTTTGTAAAAGGAAAATCGATTGCATATGTAATATTGTTATTTTTAGTAAGCGAAATACAATGTTTGTCATATCACGCATGTGTAGCGCATCTTTTTCAACGCGATGTGCTGTTCATCTAGTTTTCTTTTCAATGTCGATGATATTACACGTCGTAGAGGTATTGATCATCACACAATTAATTATTGATACTCCCTGTTTAATCTTCAAAGGTACTGTACAGCTGTACTTATATATTAACCGAATCTGTATAGTTCTTTATTACTGAGTAATATGAGGGAGGGAGGGTGATATAATTGATACACAACTGCTTAGAGGCGGTTTCTAAAGCTGAAAAGACAATCAAAGTAAGGGTTTTGAAATCTGACAAGGTGAACATTGTTATTCGATGTGTAGCTGGGTTAGTTAGTGTCCACTCGAAAAGTGTGAAGGTAACAGAACAAGAAACCAGTGGGATGTGCAAAAAGAACATGTGAGAGTGATAATAGTGAATTAATTACTAAAAATAGAAGCGAATGAGTAGAATGAGACAATGAATAAACCTTTTCTACACACACACAGTTAAGGGTTGTATTAAGGAATAGCTAGTGCCTCCACTATACACAAGTATCTAAACTTAACACCCCTCGTACCATTCCGTATTACTTTGTAGATAATTTTAAGAGACGATTCCAGTAGAGTGAGTTCGCCAGACTGTCGAGAACCGAACTAGTAATTGACTTGCATTGTCTCCTTGATAACCTCTACCAGTTAATGTTCGGAGATGCGTTTGCGACGTATGGCCAATGTAACCAGCACCACAGAATTTATAAATATATACTGAAGTGGCCCAAAGCGGCAGTTAGTCCTTCATGCATCTATTGATCATTTGTTGACTGTAGAAATTGATCTGTAGCTCAGTCGAAAAGAATGCTTTTCTCAGCGATCTGGGGGGGTCGTTCTTCAGAGTCCCAGCTGAGGTACCACCACATTCAACAATCATAAACTGCAATTTCTTCGGCACCGCTTGGATCCTTTCAGACTTCTGTTTTACTTTCATCTTTTACTCGATGAATCTTGCAGGGACCTTTCCATGCTGGTGTCCTGTAGATTGATCTCTGGGAAGAGAGCCGTCAGGTCTCCTTTTAACAAAACATCCTGAGTTCATCTCTGATTGCGAGTTCGACTTGACAGAGTGGAAGCAGTTGTTGAACTCATTCATTTTCATTTCGATGTCAGCACCCTTGTCGCATATGATAAATACATCATCCACGTATATTTGGTACACGTGGAAACTTTCAGTGGTGAGTCATAACACTCGTAGACTTGCCATGAAGCAATCTGCAAGTAGAGGACCAAGTGACGATGCTGTTGCCACTGTCTTTCTGTCTATATAGTGTGTCATTGAACTTAAACTAGACATTAAAGGTACACGTCAATATTAGTTTTTTCTTAAGTAGTTGATCGGAACACTCACTTCTAAACTATTTTGCTTGATGAATTTGCATACAAAGCAAATTGTTTCAGTGGAAAGAATGTTAGGGAAAAGAGGTGTGAAGATTTCTGGGAACTGGATAACAAGAAATGAATAACCGTGTGCCATTGCGAACGATTTCAAACCGTGTCCGCAACAGCCTCCAACTGGAACATCTAAATCGATTAGGTCATATCTATCAACCTATCTATGGTGAATTCAAGTAAGATTCCTGATAAAGACCATCCCTGTAGGACTCAACTGATTGTTGTCACTTCGGCCGATAAGTCACTGCACGATCGCACGACTTCGTCAGTTCGAGTAGAGTCATATGATCAGCACTATATGCATTCTTGACACTCCCTTCAAGCTGAACATTGTCGCAGGGCCTGCCGATCGGTGGAATCAAATGACACCGTCATGTAAAAGAATGTGGTAAGCGTTGGAAGTCTGTAGGAAAGTTTATTTTTCAGAAACTGTCGTATGTTTGAAGTTGTGATCAGTACACCCTCACTCTGGTGTAATGCCCGCCAGGTGTTCTGGGGTTTGTTTTACTTGAACTTCACCAATCCTTAGTGCGTCGGTGGCATAGCGGTTAGGACGCTCGCCGACCATGCATATGGTCCGGGGTTTAATCCCCGGCCAACGCACTCCTTTACCTCGCTAAGCCAGAAATAATGTTGGTGAAGGGGAAAGGTTGGGTATGAGGCTAGCAACCCCATCCTGTAAAATAAACACTGCTACAGAAACTTCAAGCCACTAGCTTGAAGCCCTATGTTCCACTGGGGAACGTGAAGGAATAAAAAAATCCTTAGTAGGCCTATGGGATCCAGAATCTTAGATACTTTGCCGATCAAGCTGATCCTGTAGTGATTATCGCAGGGAGATTTGTCATGTATCCCATAAATTGGAATGATAAGCGATTTGCACTGAACGAGTCAAAATATCTCGAATTTTCATACGGTATTTAATACCTTAGTCAAGTTGACATCATCTTTAGAGATCTTAGACACTAGATTCATGTTACCGTGTCCCGATGCTTTGTCTGCTACCGGATTATAATTAGTCTTTGCAGTTTCAGCTACAGTTGTAGGACTGATGTTTACATCCTATTCGGTTCGAGTTGGGCAGTAGGAAGCTCTGTGACTTGCTCAAATTGTCTCACCTATCTTTCCATTAGTCTCTTTTGGGAACCTATCAAAATTCAATCATTCTGAAGGTCATTTCAGTTACCATAATTTATTTAACAGTTTGTTTCTCTAAAGAACATAGGGACTTGACGGGGATTACCTATTGCTGGTGCCTTTTTTAAGTTTTGCCTACGTCCTCTACCACTCTACGGTCGTTGCGAAAGCATTTAGTCACTTTACATTTGATGAACCTCTCGTAGTCATGTTCACAGCCCATTTGCGGATGAAAGTGCAGAAACCCACTGACATTTACTCAGCTTTCACTACTTGTATGTACAGCGGAGTGGATATGATTCTAGACTTCCTTAAGACGAGTATTGCTATCATACCCAGGTATGCATTTATGTCATCCCTTAGTATAGATCTTGCATTGTCGTCAAAAAGTTGCACACGTAAGGGTTTTGCAGCTTTTTCTCATCCACGTCCGTTTAGTTGTTGTAGACAAACACATGCATGGTTGGAGTTCTCACAGGTATTTCAGAACAAGCACCAGTCTTCCACTGACCCTCTTTGTCGATGTCTAGGACCAACTGAATTGTCAGTGTAGAACTTTGCATGAAATTGTAACAGTTCCAGTTGGCACACTCTAAAGGTAGTGAAAAAAAGACATAAAACACGAAAACGTGTTGTAGAAAGGAAAATAATGGGTACTTTATAGGTCGGGGTGAATACCTCCACGCACTATTGAGAACGATATCTAGGTGGTATCTTTGGGGCCATCACTGATGTGATGTTGGTAGTTGCTAGGTGAGATAATGTCTTTCCTCATGCGTGTTTGTAATGCCAACCAGAAACAGATGTTTATCTGAAGAGAATTCTAAGAATCGGTCACCCCTTCCTATTCGTCTGCATGTTGCTCTATAGATACCTCCAGTATACTTTCGCAGTGATCCAGCTTCCCTACAACACGAACATTAGAATGACTTGCATTTATGACTGTATCTGAGCGTTTTGCTTTCAGCAACCCACTAGACAGATTCTGTTCAAACTCATCGTTTACTTATTCTAAACTGCAGGCATTTGTTGCCTAAGTAGAGAGTATAAAAAGACATAAACAAGCGTCACAATCTTCCTTCATCCTTGTGAATCTATCGAGCTGTGAGCGCATAGATAACTCCTGACTGTGATTTCGTCGAGGCTTTCCCCCTGCTGTTTATCTGAATGCTATCTTTGCGCCATCAAATATGCGAGCACTAGCCAAAGAGTTTCATGACACCATTAGGGGGAATCATGTATTATTATATTATTATTGTTTCCTTTATTCCTAGAGGAACATAGCTTCAGCCGTGCGTCTCCATTGCGTTCGTTCTCTGCTAGAGTTTTACCTGGCTCCAAGTCTGCCACAGTTTCATCTCCTCTTCACATGACCTCCTCTAAGTCACCCTCGCACTGACGACCAACTCGCCGCTTCTCGTTCGGGTTCCACTCGAGCAATGGCTTGTCTAGGATGTCACTTGATGGTTTCCTCAGAGTATGGCCAATCCATTTCCATTTCTTCCTGCCTATTTGTTTCACAATCGGTTCCTGGTTGGTTGGCTCCGAGAGATCTCTGTTTCTGATCTTTTCTGCTGGCCATCTGATCTTGAGTATTGAGCGAAGACATCTGTTAATGAAGGTCTGTAGCTTGTTTGAGGTGCTCTTTGTGACACGCCAAGTCTCTGATCCGTAAAGAGTAGCACTGACTGACTTCACATTGGAGTTGAAAATCCAGATCTTATTTTTGATGCTGAGTGCTGTTGACCTCCACACAGACTTGAGAGTAGTGAAAGTTTGTCTTGCTTTTCCGATTCTTGCTTTGATATCCTCGTCAGTTCCGCCTGTAGTTGAAACGATGCTTCCCAGGTAGGTAGGTGAAGGAGGTTGTTTCTTTCAGGTTCCTTCCATTTTTGCTGATTGTTGTCTGTTGTTGTTGTTGCTGTTGGTGGTGTTTTTCCAGGGGGAATCATGTGGATTAACATTAAATGAATGCAGACACTTGGTTCAGAGATACAAAATGCATCCAAACCTGAAATGTCTGAATTTTGTCTCCTGAGGTTTTTCGCCCAATTTTTTGTAAAATCATTGGCAGCTCCAGTGTGAAGTAAGAATGGATTTAAGGAACTACGAACAATGTTTCTTTGACTTAATTCTCTAGCAATTGTTACACAGTTAGGAGGTGAAGAAACCATCTGGGCAGTTATATTGACAGAATGATGCGAAGAAGACGGTCGTGGGCGATGAATAGAAATGTGTAGAAGGTGAATACATTTCGGATATCTACATCATGGAGGTTGGTTTATTTTTAGGGTTTTTGGAGGTAAACAAGCATAAGCTCTATGTGACTGTAGAGTTCAGGAAACAACTGCTTCAGACCGATAATTCCTGGACCGTTTGGAGTTGAAGTTTTGAAAGTTTCCACCGGAACGAAACATTCTGGTGTTGTTATACCATTATCAGCCTCCATCATGACTTCGTCCTCATACCTCCACCATGCACTGGACAACTTAGCCTAGTACTTTAACTGCTTTCACTCT